AAGCCTGGAATTACACATCAGATGATAGCCTTTTCTTGAAAGAGACAGAACAATGTTTGCAAGGTGAAGGCATAGGCAAGCAAGCAAAGCTTGTAGAAGGTTGCGCTGAGCCCAAATCGAAGTGGGAGCTTATGTCCGAGTCCAAAATGCAACTGTCATTTCAATTGCCAAACAATGGGACTAGATTGTGTTTGGATATTGACAATAATGGTTCCCTTGTGACGAATTTATGCGAGTGCCAGAGCCAAGAAGAAAGCTGTGATCCAGAGAGACAATGGTTTAAGATCATTAAGAGTGCTAGAGAAATAGTGAGTAAAAGAGACTCACATTTGCGCTTGTTTTCACAGAGATCATTTCATGGAGATGTTGGTCCTCAACTCAAGAGAGACCTGTGAATATATACACTAGTAGTCAATCTTATGCCAATAAATTACTGGGATGTTATGTTGAATAATTTGCAACAGGAAATGAAGGTGAAAGAAGAGTTGGGAAATTGCGACTTCAGACCCGTCTGATTTCTGCCGACAAGCTTGGAGTCAAAGAGTATTGCGCGGTATACATCAATAGATCATACTTATTTCTTGAAAATTACCCTTCACCATTAAAAAGACTGAGATCTGATTCTAGTTGTACAACATTCCAAAAGTATAGATTTATATATTTCCAAACGTATGATTTTTCATATTATCTATTAGAAACAATCAATATAATCATATCCCACTTCAATAGTTTGCAAAAAAATGGCAATTCAAGAGCACGCATATACTGAATTACATAATGATATTTGTCCAATAAAATGTCACCATAAAATTAAATATGAAAGCCAATTATAAGACCCTCATGAGCAAGACCTTTTGTAACATAGCTCCATAATTTATTAAACTAACAATATAAAATCATCAATGAAAAGAAAAATTTCCAGCTGTAAAGAATAACGTCCACTTGTATATTATACAAGTGGGATCCAGGAGCATATAGGCACCATACACAGCAATTAACTCTGTTTATACTTCCATGCCTAATTCTAAACAGATTAATCAAATAATAACATAAAACTCTAGCTAGTTTCCCATCGGCAAAAGTTTCTTCCCCAGTTTTAGCAAATAGTAACAGAAACACTTCAGCTTATTATTTGCTTTATTGGGCACGCCAGAATTAGTTCCATCATTGCCACCAGTACAACCAGCTTTATCTTTCAGGGCAAATTTTTTCCTATACGCAACTTCTCTGGCTTTATACTCTTTCAGAACTTTGTCAGCTCTCTTTTTAAAACAGACCTTGTAAATTTGCAAGCACTCCTTTGACCGAGCTTCACATGCCTTCGCCATGTTGAGCCCATGCGTGTAGAAATGATAAGCAACAAATACCTCAAAATGCTGGGGGAAAAAAGTGGGAACATATTTGAGATAGTCCTAAAAAATGGGTTAATTGTGGATAGACCTATACTATTGCCCAACTGCTGATAGCCTCCGGTAGTTTTCTTTTGACTCTTGTACCCTCAAGAGGTCTGTCTGTAAAAAAATAATTTTCTCTCCGTAGAAGTAAGATTTCCCTGAGGGGGTCCCTCTGAAGAATAGAACAGTAGGGCACCCATCCACAATTGGACAATAGTACACGGGGTCTATCCTCAATTAACGCGAAAATAATTAGGGCCTGATGGTGTGAATGTGATGATCAAAGAGTTACCATTGGAGGCTTTTGAAGCCAATACGTCATTTGATCACACGAAGCAAAGAAGACAGCATGATTATATTCCAAGGAGTTCTTCTCTCCCTGAGGAGTACAGCGAGTCCTTTCAAATCCTGGTTCATTGAAGTAGGGTTGAGCGTTCATAACCAAACCTTGAATGGAGACAAGAACCTGAAGCATGGTCGACCGCTGTGGGTCCCACTTCTCGCAATTCTCTCTTCCAGACCACGTGTTTAGAAGGCTGAGACAAACTTTCCCATTGGGGTACAGGTTAGGATTAAAAATGCGTCCATGAGCATGAAAATATGCTTTCTGCAATGGAATATATTAACAATTCAACACAACTCAAAATTTTAAGGGTAAATTTCACTAAACCCCATATAAGTTTGGCCCTTTGGCACTTAATGCCCAAAAAAATTTAAAGACTCACTAAACCCCCAGTAAGTTTACGAATTCCAGAAAACCTCCAAAACATTTTGATTTTTTCACTATATAATCCTCACTGACTACTTTAAGATGTTTATGTGATATTCTTTGTTTGGAAGCTCAAAATATAGGCTTACACCTTTTTGGGGGTTTTTTAGAATTCCAAAGTTTATTGGGGTTTAAGTTAAAGTTTCAAAATGTTATGGAGTTAAGTGCCAAAGAGCCAAACTTATTGGGGAATTTAGTAAAATTTATGAACATTTTAAAGAGCAGTGGAATAATTCTCTGCGGCTTTGAGATTCACATACTGGGGGTTCATTGGGATATTTGTCTGTAAATTGAAAGTCGAAGAAGAAGAGGCCATCGTGATAAGGGGTGCCTGCTGGACCTACTATAACCGCCCTCAGAAGG